TGGGGAGCGGGTGGCGGTGCCGAGGCCACAGCTGGCTGAGCATGGGCCACGCGATGTGACTTTCCACCTGCAGGAAAGAGGCCCCAGGATGGCACGGCCCTGGGCTCCCCGGATAGTCAGCCAGGACAGGTCCCAGGGCCCAGTCGGGGGGTGCAGGAGGCAGCTGATGGGTGTTCCTCTCTCTCTATCCCTCTCCCTCTCCAATCAATAAAAACATATCTTAAAAAAGAATAATGAAGCAAAGCTGAGCATCGTGGGTGGGGTGCATGTGCCATTCTGCACCAGTGCTCAGGGAGGGCCCCCACCTCCTGTTGGTTGACTCAAGCCTGAGTGAAGGAATAGCCCTGAGTCAGGCATCCCTGGAATGTTCTAGAACAGCCGTGGGCAAACTACAGCCCGCGGGCCGGATCCAGCCCGTTAGAAATGAATAAAACTAAAAAAAAAAAAAAGACCGTACCCTTTTATGTAATGATGTTTACTTTGAATTTATATTAGTTCACACAAACACTGCATCCATGCTTTTGTTCCGGCCCTCCGGTCCAGTTTAAGAACCCATTGTGGCCCTCGAGTCAAAAAGTTTGCCCACCCCTGTTCTAGAACATCAAGGAGGCCAGAGTGGCCACAGCGACTTGCACGAGGAGCCAGACCTCAAGTGTGTGAAATTCCCATAAATCCCAGATCACCTGCACCTCTAAATGTGACGTGGGGAATAGTGGGGTACAAGGACAGCGACATTAGCACAAGCAGTGACCTCAACAGACACTTTGGTAGGAATGGTAAATGGGTCACAAAGCTGCCCGTTTAAGACAACTTGATATGGGATGGGAATGGGGGAGGGGGAGCCAGCAGGCATGGCAGACGCCTCCCGTGGATCCAACGGACGCAGGACTCGTGGACGTGGTGAGGGGTCGCCAGGAGGAACTCAGGCACTGCTGGTTAGCAAACTGGAAAAATAAAACTTGCTCCCGACTTCCCCCAAATAAATCACAGATGAGTTCAAGGGCTGACATGTAAGAGTCTCATCCGTAAGGTGTGTTTCTTTAAAAATGAGAGGTGGGAGGAACACATGGCACTATGAGGACATCACTGACCCTGTCACATTTCTGTACGATACGGGAAAGCATCACATCATTAAAGTGCACAAGTAGCCCGGCCGGCGGGGCTCAGGGGCTGAGCCTCGGCCTGTGAACCAGGAGGTCAGGGTTGGATTCCAGGTCAGGGCACAGGCCCGGGTTGCAGGCTCGATCCCCAGTGCAAGGCGTGCAGGAGGCAGCCGATCCATGACTCTCTCATCACTGATGTCTCTCTCTCTCTCCCCCTTCCTCTCTGCTATCGATAAAAGTCTATTTAAAATCAAATAAAATGCACACATACAATGAGGAAACCATGGGGCCTGTGGAGGAGGCGAGAGCGTGTGCCCTTCCTGTGGCCCCAGCCTGGTCCTG